GTACTCACTCCAGAAGTGACTTTTTGCTTCCTTTTGCTGTTGTTGTTGTTACAGAACAATCAAGAGGGGAAACATTATTCTGTACTTTTTCTGATTTCTTCCAACCTCCCTCCCTTCCCTTGCTTCCCCTATTCTCCAGCCTTCCTTTTGTTACTTTGATAAAATAAAACCAAGGGAAACTCTCTCCGCATCTTGCTCTGAAGCTGTATTAAGCTGAATGTGGCTCGTTGTCTACCAGGACTTCTTGCTGTTGCCCTTGACAGCAGCACAAGATTCCCTCTGCAGTTACAGCAGCTTCAGAAGACAGAGGTGGTCACTTGGTGTGACCCCAGGCCTTAGTCATGTGGGAGAGATGCAGGGTGGCCCAGTGAGAGTTAGCTGGGATTGTATAGCCCAGGGAGTGCTTGCCTGGCATGGTTGGATCCCTAACAGTGTGAAAAGAAGACCAAATATCAGAGAAGGGAGGATGGTGTCAGCCACTCAAGTAGACACTCATAGAGAACCTCATAGTAGAGAAAGGAATGAAAGGCATTTGCAGCCAGAGCACCAAGGTAGTGGAAATTCACTTAGGCAAGGGTTTATCTTATCTTGATCAAAATGCCTAAGAAAGAAGCAAAAGTGCTTCCTCTAGGCCTCTGGGAGCTTCTCTTTGAGGATGCTTCCCTGCTTTGACAGAGCTCCTGGGACCCAGGACTCTTGTGCAAGTGGGTGTTTTAGATGACCCTGGGCTCTGTTGCTGTCCTGATTCCACCAGCAAAGCAGAAGGTCGATCCACACAGCAGTAAGCAAGTGCACTCTAGGTCTATGGCCTAGATGGATTGGAATTTACAGATACCACCTTGGAGCTGGCTGTTTGATGTTGTCACCAGCTGCATCTGCTGCAGCAACACCTGCCATCTGACACCCTAGTCCCCTGCAGTTTAGAACCCTACTGAAATCTCAGCTAGGGTTGTAGGAGGCAGCATAGTCGTCTGAGGACCTGCTCGCAACAATTGAAATTCTTTCCTTCTCTGAAGTGTTTTAGTCTCCACGAATCTATCCAAATTAGCTCTTTTAGAGATTCTGCAGATTGAGACCCAGCCTGGCATGGGAAAATAATGCAGCTGTGTTTTCCATGTTTTGCATATTTTCTTTCCTCTTTTGAGTTCCCACACAGTGCCTTTTGCTCTGAGTCTCCTTCTTCACCCAGGATGTCCAGAACTATCAAGGCAGAGACCCTGGAATTTATGCGCTGGTATGCAGATGGCCAAGGGAGATGGACAGAGCCAGCCCTTTTACCCTGCGTTTGTGTTTAAGTGATTGCACAGCATGAGGAAATAGGAAGAGGAAAGGAGGCCTTGCTCTGTCCTCACTGTGGCAGGAGTCTGTCTTGGGCAGATTTGTTTTGTGTCCGGCTGTGGCATGCAATGAAGAAAAGCTCCCACCAGTGCCTCATCCAAGCCGCCTGTGCCTCTGATCTATCCAGCGACTGAAATTGCTATGCGAACTCTGCTGAGGCCTTCATTTCTGCCCTGGGGCCCTTTGTGATTTGATCTTCGAACAGACCTTTCTTTCCAGTCCACCATTCCTTCTAATAAGCAAAGAACTTAAAAGTTCAAATCATTGATTTTATTCTTTCAAGTTCAAGAACTTTTTGGAGCATCACTCAAGTACAGCCTGCTGCATCCAGTTAGTGTTAACAATAAGGCATACTCCAGGGGAGACAGCCGTGTGGCACTCCCTGTGGTCCTTGGGCCACACGGGAAGTGGGACCTGAACAAAACACAAGATCCCAAGCCTTGATGGAAACCTACATCCTTCAAGCCACATCTTGGGTTTGAGAAACCATGCTGGCTTCCTTCAGGGTCCAGTCTTCAGGTTCTCTTGCATTCATTACATGAATCTTTTGGTCTCAGAGGCACAGTAGCTGATGTGGGGTGGAATTAAAATCTCCGCCAGGAATATGGCAATGCAGGACTGACTTTGTGAGGGAGTCCAGCATTGAATCTGTTTGCCTCTCTATGCAGGCTGAACAAGATTCAAAGTTTTTTTTTTTTTTTAAGGGTAAACTGAAGCAGCTCTGTTTTATGTTTTTATCTAAATTGAGAAATCTCTTGCTAAGCTACCTCCAAGGTATATCAGAGAGAACGCTCTAGAATAATGCTGGCGACCAAGATTGTGCACTAAAGACCAGAGCTCCTGAGCAGCAGGTCATGGTAGGGGAAGCCTGGATGGTGAGCCAGTGGGTTGCCATCTTGTCTGATCCTGGCTGCCCTTGCTTTTACTTTAGCAAGGAGGCAGAAAGGGCTCAGAAAAAACTTTGTGACCTGTCTGGGGTTACAGATCTGACCCTAATCTTTAGCCTGTCTAGTGCCAAAGCAAGTTCTTTGCAGAGCTATGCAGAAGGGTCCCGGTGACTTGATGCTGTGCATGGGTCTCTCCAGCTGGCCTTTCTCCTCTGAGTTTGAGGGAAATGGCGAAGATGCTCAGTGAAGGCCAGCTCCCACTCTTAGAGCTCAGCTGCCAGCTCCCAGACACAGGACTGAGCTCCAGACCGCAGCTGGCCCGCATCCTCGATTCTTAGGACCGTCTCAAGGCTCACCTACCCAGCTCCTCATCTGCGGTTCTTTGTGAAGCCAGGGGCCTGCATCAGAAGAAAAGAACCACTGCGGACAATGACACAGAGCTAAACATAGCCCTGTACATTTGAAAATGAACAATGTGTAAAAGCCTTGAAAAATTTTTTCTTTGATGTGAATGGAGTCTTCGGCATTTCAGAATACAATGCGATGAATTAATTGCTCCTCATTAGGCAGCAAGTCAGGCCAGTGCTGAATGTGGCTTCCCTCCTCCTCTGTAGCTGTGGCCTGACCAGAGTCGCCCCTTTTGTGTTTGCTCCCGCCTTCTGCAATGATAGGCAAATTAGAGATCGCTGCTAGAAAACATTCAAGGGCCCCATCCTTTGCCCAGACCACCTTATGTTTTTGTGATGTTTATCTGCTCGGGGGTCACGGTTAATTGTTGCAGAGGTCACATGTATCCACACTATGCTTGATTAGAAACATCTGCAAAAGTAATTCTTAGGGAAGTATTTCATGTTTTGTCTGGTAGAAAGAACCCCCCGCCCCCCAAGCAAATTGCTGTTTTCTCTCCCTTGTGTTATAATTTTATTTGCTGGGGAAAGCAAGTTTGCAGGAAATTATGTAATAGCTTATGAGAGCTTTTTGCTCTTGGTTTCTATGACTTCATATGTATTTTCCCATACTAGTGCTAATTTTTCCATATGAATAAATCAGATTGGGATCTAAATTCCTAGATGATATAGCCCATGAATAAATTGGTGTGTTGTATCATTTGTATATATACTCTGTATATTCTGTATATGAGAACGTCACAGGTTATCTGTATATATAGCATGCTGTTCATTAATGAATGGCAGCTGAGATACACTACAAATAGGCACACGCATATTCATTATCCTCAAAGTTTTTCTTTGGAAAATGTCTAGAGACAATGAGATTGCTTTTGCAAGCTAACTGTGTGCTGGCAAAGCAATGAAAAAGGAGGGAAAGGTTCATATGATAACTAGAGTCTGGTTGATACAGTGTCCTGGACTGAAGAACACCCTCTTCAGCCATGTGCATTCACATTGCTGCGTTTCCATTATGTTACACACAGGCATTTCCCTAACACCTCGTCCATTCTGATCACAAAGGGGAGGCAGCCAGCAGATCACGAATATGAAAGCCTGTGTACTAACAGTTTGTGAAGTTTCAGGTTGAGGAGTTTATGAGTGGCGCAGCCTGTTGGACTATGCAGATGGGGCAGGGGCGATGAGGCCTTTGAGGGTGGACAACATATTATAAATGGCCAGAAAGGGAGGGTAGATAATGAGGCTCCTACCTCTAGCCCAGACTTTTCCAGCATCTTTGGCCCCTGTTTGCTACTCTCTGGCAGTTCAGTGGGCCATGGGCTCAAGAGAAACAGGGAGTGTGAACTCGTCCCCTTCCCCACTCCCTCCCCCTGACTGTTTCTCTTCTTCTGTGTACACATACACATACTCAGTGTTTCCTGGGGTCTAAGACAGGCAGAGCATAACTCAATATTGACTTACTGCAGTGTTTCAAGATAAAACAGTACGTTCATCCTTTGTAAATCTCATCCTCATCTTGGAAACATTGAGAGGTGCAAATACATCTTAGAGTGAAATTAATTTGGTGTGTGAACATAGCTCACATTTCTTACACGTAGCACCGAGACTTGCGTGGTCCATCAGCCCCTCTTCCTTTGTGTGAGGGTGAGCAGAGCCAACAGATAAAGACCAGGATATTATCCCATAGTGACACAGGCAAGCAATTTACCCAGGTTTGACACTTGGGGTGATAATTTTTCTAAAGCCAGGCGCATGTCTCTGTGCTGCAAATGACAGCTGAGAGATTGTCTTTCCGAACTCCCATCAGGGTAAGAGGGTCTGCAGCCAGGCTCTTATCCTGATTTTCGTGTAGCCTGGCCCGTGCTTATTATCCATCTCTGGGGTTGCTTTAGATTATAGACCCCCCCCCAAAAAAAAACATGCACGCATCCACCACAACCCTTTTAATTTTCCCATGTATATTGTGATGAAAGACCACTGCTATGAGATCTAATGAATAGAGTATTTCTGCCGAAAATGGCAGGAAGTCACAAGTGTAGACATTTCAGTCCATTTACAGAAAATTGCCTGTTCTCAGGCAGGTGGGTCAAGTGTAGGAGCCTCTAGTGTAGATAACATTTCCGCCCCACGCTTGGCTTTCTGTCATGACAGGCAGCTAAGAGGTGCCCAGATCTGAACAAACTACTCGGTTGTACTCGGTTGCTTCTGTTCATTAGTTCACTGGCCTTATAGATTATGATATGCTGGTTATAATGGAATTCGCCAGCCACACTCATAGCTACAAATGCCTGCATTTATAATAGAGCCAGGAGGGTGTAAGAAACTCAGGTACAGTTCTTCCTAAGTGAAAAAAGTGAAGAAAGTGAAGGGCCTGACTTGACTTGCCCTGGGTAGGACAGGAAGCCAGGCACTTGAATCCCTACCAGGCATAGTTCACTCCAGAAAAGCTTTGGGTACTCCAGACATCACAGAGACAATCCCTCTGCTCTCCTGTATTTGTTTTTATTAATGTGCCTGCCAGAGTGGCCAGTGTCGTTAAGTAGATGAGTCAGATCTTGTTCTGAAGCTGTGGAGGTAATCAACAAAGGTAGTTTCTTTTCTCCCTTCATGCTGACTAATTTCTTTGTTTCAAAATAAGGAGAATGAGGCTGGTGAGATGGCTCCACAGGCAAAGCACTGTGCCAAGTCTTAGGATCTGAGTTCAATCCCAGGGACTCACAGAATGGAAGGAGAGAACTGCCTCCTGCAAACTGGCTTCTGACCTCCACATGGCAGCACATACATACTTAATAAATGTCTATCAAGCCTTCATGGGTGTTTGAAGAACTTTTGAACATACCTAGCAAAGAGAAATGTTTCAAGCAGGTCTCTTTTAAGGAGGCTGCTTGTTGGTTACACAGAAACTATATTATTTAAATCACCTCTTGGCCCATTAGCTCTAGCTTATTATTGGCTAACTTACATGTTAATTTAACCCATTTCTAGTAATCTGTGTATTGCCACGTGGCTGTGGCTTACCTGGTAAAGTCCATCTGGCTCCAGTGGGCTACATGGCTTCTCTCTACTCTGCCTTCTTACTCTCAGCATTCAGTTTAGTTTTCCCTGCCTAGCTCTGTTCTACCCTATCAGGCCAAACCAGTTTCTTTATTCATTAACCAATAAAAACAACACATAGACAGAAGAACCTCCTACATCACAGGTCCTCTTAGCCAGTAGGTTGTGGAGATTCAAGGAACTGGACCTGGGCTTTGGTTTCATAGGCTGCCCCCGAAAATGCACCAATCCTATTTGACACTAGGCCAGGCAGACACACCCCTCCCATCAGCATCTCATAGACACAGAATTCACAGGTCTCTGAGAGGCTGAGGACTCTCACTGAGCAGAGCCAGGTTCTGGAGTGGCTCTGTTCTTCAGAATTCACTCCAGCTGAGCAGCAAAAAGTCTGGGCCTCCCTTTTTTAAAGCACCAGGTCTGGGCCCTAAAGAAGTTATAAAGCATAGGGAAGACACCTATGGCCATTCCTCTGCCATTACCTAAGCAAATTGCTCAGAGAGTTTTTATAACCTCACCGGGGATGGGCCCCAAGAAAATCTAGCAAGTATGTGTTGGTGTTCTTTACTGTGACTAGAGCCGTTCTTACTGCCCATAGATCCCTTCTGAGGGGAGGGGTGGGGCCAGGTGAAGCCATGGGGCTTTCAAAGTAGATTGACTGGCCCTGACATCTGTGCTTGTTGGGCTCAGCTGTGCTTTAGGACACATAAATGCTCCCAGTCCATCATAAAATTTTATTCACACACACACACACAAGTTTATAAATAGCCTTAAATTCTACTTGCATCAACTTCAGGCGGTTTGACTGGCTAGCCAATGAAGAGATCCTAAGCATCTTTCCTAGTCACGCTAGAACATTCTAGCAGGGGCCAGCAATCAAGCAAGTGTCCCAGCCTTCAGTGTGCCAGTGCAGCTTGGAGAGCCAGCTAAGGGCTCACTAGCTCTTGAGTATAAAATACAGCAATGTAAAAATGCATCCTTAGCTCCTCCTGTTCTCCCTTCTTATTCTTCCGCTTAGTTTCAAGCAACTTGTAGTAGGATAGTTTTATCCTTTATGAACCTGTCTCTTGATAATGAGCTTTTAGAAAACTTCTCATGGTGTCCTGGTGTGCTGGTGCAAAGTGCTGTCCACATTTTTGGAGAATCAAAAGCTTCCAGAATTGTTTCCAAGTCTGATTCTTTCTCAAGCTCCTCTTAATCTTTCCTTTGGCGGCTTGTCCTGTTTACCCCTCACCTTTGGTTAACTGTATACTTGGAAGCTGCCAGGAGGCTGACACTTGGTGTCTCTCAGTCACTGTCCCTCACTGTATGCTCTGAGAGGCACCTTTGTAGAAGGTTGTTGGTGCCGCTGTTTTGTTCCTGCTTCAGTGGCCTGTGGGCTCTGAGTACAGACCCTCACACTCCTCAAGCCTTGCATGTACCCATGAGGCTTGCTACACACAAGGCCTGACCCTTGTTTCATTTATAATGGGGACACCACATAACCACATAGTCAGGGAGTTGGGGGTGGGGGTGTTATACCAATGGTGGTTGTTGGATAGCTATCTGTGTGGTACTCCCCTAAAGTATAGATAATGCCCACATTCACATTTTTATAGCACCAGAATGTTGTGTTTATACATATTATTTTTTAACTAAAGAAGAAAAGTAACCCTGCCTTTGTACGTGATTCTTTTAACAAACTGTTTATTGTTGTATCCAGGTAACAAGCATGGTAAGTATATCCTCTAAACTGAGTATCTGTATTTTAGCTGTGCTTGGCAGACTTTTTATTTTGGCTAGCTTTGTGTTACCAGTCTTGGCTTTGTAGAAAAAAAAAATCCATTTAGGAAAGGAACGACTGTAGCATCACCTACACTGTGAGCTTTAGTAAAGGAACCACTGTAGCCTTAGCCCCATAGCATGTGCCCCGACAGCATGCTGCTTGGCTGCCCCCTGCCCGTCTGCCGCTTCTGAGCTGCCCCTCCATAGATGCCTTCTAGGGTTCCTGGGCCTTGAATGATACCAGCAGGGCCTGGCACCCAAGTAGTGCTCCTTACATTCTGTAGATGGCGCTGTGGCCCAGTGACAGCAGGCACCCAGGTAGCACTCCTTACATTCTGTGGATGGCCCTGCCTCTGCTGATCACCGTGCTTCTTACCTCTCACTTGAAAGCAGGGTCACCTTTTCCCCTAGTGTGATAAGTCTTTGAGAATTCTTCTGGAAATAGAAACAATGGATACATTGTTTACCTTCCTGTCTATTGGAAAATTGATTAAGGGTTTAAAACCCAACCTCGCCCCTAGGTATTGCTTGCTAGTAGCCCCAGTTCCATAAGTCAGAGTCTCAGCCTCGTGGCTGTGTTGATTTCTCTTTGTGCATGTGAGCTTTCCTGGCCCCCGTGTGGCTCTGTATTGTAGTCTTTGTGCTCGTGGCTGTACTGTTTGACCCACATGGTAGTCATGTGTTCGGTATTAAGTCCGTGTGTCACTGTCATCTTCAAGGATCAGACTGCCAAGGACAAGGCCTTGCAGCACATGGCTGCCATGTCATCAGCCCAGATCGTTTCGGCTACTGCTATCCACAACAAGCTGGGGCTGCCTGGGATTCCACGCCCCACCTTCCCAGGGGCACCGGGGGTAAGTTAGGAACCGAATCCAGAATGATGGTTTATTGGGTATGATGGTATAGCTACTCGTGAGGCTGATTTAGGAAGATTATAAATTTGAAAACCTGTTTGGTCTACGTAATAAGTTCAAGGTCAGACTGTCAACTTGATGAGGTCCTATCTAAAACTAGAACTAAAAGGGGCTCAGTGAGGATGTGGCTCAGTGGTAGAGCACTTGCTCATATATTAAGCCCTTAGGACAATCCACAATATCACAAAATAAAATAACAGATGGTGGATATACAAATGGATAGACAGACAGAAAGATAGATGAATAGATTAAAAGACAAATGATAGATGGATGATAGGTAGATGGGTGGATGGATGAGTATATATAGATGTTAGGTGGGTGGATAGATAGATGGATGATTGATAGATGATAGATGATGGATTCATAGATATGTAAGACAAGGAAGGTGAGAAAGATGAGGCTAGAAAGAAAAGAGAAGAAAATTGGAAATAAGAAGAATAAAATAGGAAGAGATAAATGTTTTGTTTTTGGTGTTCCATTTAGTTGTGAACTGCCTCTTTCACTCTTTCCTGCTTCTTGGTCTCCATCCCTGTATCCTTAGGGTCACTGTATATCAACCACAGGGCAACTCCTGAAGGCTGAGAAGCTGTCTGTTGCATCTTGTTTCATCCCAGGGCCTTCTTCAGTAGTCTCATTGTCATGGCCATTCTCTAGATGCCAAAGCTGGGGTTACTCAGTAGTGAGACTCCAGTAGAGGCGTCTTGGTTGATCAAATAAGTAATACTGTCAGGATTTTCCCTTTCTCCCTCAATGGGGACTAGCAGGCCCCAAAGGCCTTAGGTATGCTCACTGCAAAAATGAGGGCCCTAGTTGCTTCTCCAAGCTCTGGCTTCATTATTTCAAAGTCTATTGAGAACTACATACTGTGGGGTGTACAGGAAGCACTTGGAGTAGAGGAGTGCCAGTCTGTGTAGAATAAACTCAAGTGCTTCCATATTGCCTCTTGGCCTTAGGAGAGTTGTCAGGTCGCAATGGCAAAGGAAGCCCTCCCCACCCCACCCCATTACTAGGTTAAGGGTAAGCTATGGTCTGAAAACACCACTGACCACACCTGTACTCCACAGCTGGTGGGTGGAAACACTGGTATTCTTCAGAAGGGACTTAAGATTTTGCACACATCACAAACTGTTCTTTAATGAGAACTTATAACCCTGAAGCCTTTGCCTCTTACCTTCCAGTTCTGGCCTGGAATGATACAGACAGGACAGCCAGGATCCTCACAAGAGTAAGTCTGGGAAGGGCCCAGATAGCAGGGGGAGATAGCCCACCCTGGGGGATTTCTTCGGCACCAGGATTTTTTAGGGGATAGAGGGAGGAGATCGTCAAACGGAAGTCCCTGAATCTGCCAGTCCTTATGTCCCCATGTTCTAGGACTTGGCAGAGGACCCGCCTTTCAGACTTAGCACAGATGTAGACTCATTTGTCCCACCCTCAATATTAGCAGTGACACAGCCAGACACTTGAATTAGGTCCCTTATTCTTCATGGCTTTGGCTGCAGCACCAGGGGCTTCCTCACCTTCTAGAGGTCAGCAGAGACACTGGCTTTCCACTGTGGCAGTCCCTGCAATAGGGGTGCCTGATAGGAAATCCCAGAGACCCCTTGAATTTAGGGAGCAAGTTCAGCCCACAAGAGTCAAGGGCAGTTTGGGGATAAAGCAAAAAGGATATTTTCTTTGTATATACTGAGCCGTGTGGTCTAAAGAAGGGAGCTCCTGGCTCACGGCACCCTAGACCTTGCCTGGGCTATGACAGATGACCCTGGTCTGTGTGGGCATGAAAAGTGCTCACTATAGGTACCTGCTACACCAAGGGGAAGAGCTGAACCCTGGCCAGCTTATCCCACCAAATCGTTATGAGTGTTCAGCCCCCGCAGCCTGCTGACCTGCCTTTGTTTGGAGGGAGAAACTTCCTCTTTGTAGATATAGTTCAGCATGAAATGGGCAACCCAGTGCAGGCAGGGAGCCAGGCAGTGTGGTGGGTCATGGGGGAGTCCTACTGGAGGCCAAAGCTACCACTGTACCCACGATTTGACTCTTGCTAACTGTTTGTCCCTAGCGTCAAGCCCTTTGTGCAGCAGGCCTACCCCATCCAGCCAGCAGTCACAGCCCCCATTCCAGGTGAGTCTTCTTGTTTCTTCTTCGATGGGGAGTGAGGGGCAGCCCGGCCTCTCTTGTCCCAAGAGTGCAGTGATGCTGTTCTTAGCCACCAGCCACCCCTCTTCTTTTCCCTCCTAAGGGCGAGCCCTATCTTGAAGCTGAGAAAAGTCCCAGGCATCTCCCATCAGACGCTGGGTCCCTTCACTGAAGAGCTCCTTCTCCTGGGGTCTAGAGAGATGGCTCAGTGCTTAAAAGCACCAATTGCCATTGCAGAGGACCTGGGTCCATTTTCCATCACCCACACAATATAACCATTTGTCAATCCAGTTCCAGGGGATAAAATCCCCTATTCTGACCTTTGGGCACCAGGCACACATATGATACACTTATGTATATGCAGGAAAAGCATTTATAAGATGATAAAAGCTACTAAATAAGAATAAAATTTAAACCAGCCATTTCTCCCAAGCGCTCTTCCTGTGGGGTTGTCAGGAAACAGGAAGCCTGGCCACTTTCACCTAAGATGCTGGGTTCCACTTAGAAGGGGAAGTTGTTGTGGCTGCCGTCCTCAGCAGCTGCCAAGTCCTGCAATCTCAGTCAGGCACAGATAACTTCAGCTTTCTTAGATAGTGAATTTCAGTTCCTGGCTGGTTTCCTTCTGCAGTGGAGGGCTTCCATGGGAGCTCAGAGCAGAAGCTGTGAGCCTGGCTGGCCCTTCTGGCCGCCTTACCGTGAATTCTCTTACCCAGGTATACATAGTGTCACTCAGCTGAAATTCTTGTGGTGTTGTATAATCCTTGATTTACCCCCTTTAGTGTCCCAAATAAAATTGCAATCCCTTGTTGGCCTCTGCTTCCATGGAGCATCCTGAGGGAATGGTCACAGTCTTGAGATAGAAGGTGAGCCAATAGAAGCAGTGCTCTGTGAGTCCTGACTTGACAGGATGCCTTCACAAGCAATTCCCTAGGTGCTTCTGCCATCCTTCCCTTGCTCTGCAGCCTGCCCTCTTTGCCCAGGACTAGCTGCCTGTATTAGTCGCTTTGACAAAATTTCAGTACAAGCAGCTGAAGGAGGAAAGTTTTGTTTGGGTTCACAGTTTGAGGGTGTAGTCCACCGTGGCAGTGAAGTCAGGGTGAGAGGAGTGTGAGACAGCTGGTCGTGTTCCATCCATAAGACAGGAAGCAAAGAGAGCAGTGCAGGTGCTCAACTCTGTCTCTTACACGTAGTTCAGGACTCTGGCCGTGAGATGGTGTTATGCACCTTCTGGGCGCCTCTTTCCTTAAGTTAAACCTCGCGGATGTTTTACCAAAGTGACTCTAAATTTAGTCAAGCCTTTTGGTGGACCTTAAGCATTATCAACCATCACAGTGTTGTCCTCCTGCCACGGTCCCTTAACCTTAGCTGAAGCTGTCTTCATGATGAGCCTCGTGCAGTCTGCTTAGCTGTCACACTGCCTGGGTGCCCCTAGCGGAGGGAGTCGTCCTTCCCTTCTAGGCCCCACTGAGGTCTAGGACGAGGCACACGTGGACTTGTGTAAAGGTGACCATTGTTATTTCAGGGTTTGAGCCTGCGTCAGCCCCAGCTCCCTCGGTCCCTGCCTGGCAGGGCCGTTCCATCGGCACAACCAAGCTTCGCCTGGTGGAATTTTCAGCTTTCCTTGAACAGCAGAGAGACCCGGACTCGGTGAGTGTACCCAGAGGGATGTGGCTAGTGGGAAGTGCTTCTATGCCTGCTTGTTTCTTCACCCTGTGGTCTACCCTTTATGGACCCCTTTCCCTTACATCTGTGTAATGTCCTCTGTAAAACCCGGGGGAAAGGATGCTGTTGGCAGATAGCTCCAGCTTCAAAGGTGGTTGTTCACTGCTGCTTGGACTACAAGCTCCAGGGAGTACCTTGGCTGGAGGCAGGCCCTCATCAGGCTTATGTCTCATAAAATTTAACAACAGGTGACATTACTGAGCGTTCTTGTGTGGCTGCTATGGTTTAAAGTAGTTGAGCACAATTAGATAAAGACGACAGTGGATCAGTAACTTCTTCAATCATGTAGTTAATTTCTCTGGGCTAAAGATTGTTTCTAAAACACTAAAGCCTAAACAGTCAACCATCCTATTATCTAGCATTTGTACATTTGTGCGGTCCCCCCCCCCCCCAAAAAAAACCCCAAACAACAAAAACATTATCTCCAGAAGTAATGTTGGTGCTCTGATAGCTACTGTGGACTGCAGTGTCTTACCGTGTTGTAAATACCAGAAACACAGGCATCTGGAGTCTGTTTGTCATTTGCTTCTTTTCCTTCCCCACCCACTCCATCTTGTACGCATCATCCCGTGCATATGCGTGCCTCCCTTCTTCCCCAACCCCATAAGCCTGTACCCTTTGTTCACGCCCACTCCTTGGCTGAGAGTGTGAGGGCTGCATCTGTGTGTGGGTGAGCCCCAGGCAGCAATCATGAGTTAGTGTTTGGGATCCTCACCAACTTCTTTCCGTGCTCCATCTCCCGACAGTGACCTCTTTGGGGACCATGCTGAAAATGCAGTTCCTGGGTTCACTGTGGGTCTTGCTATCATCCGTTATCAATAGAAAAAGCCAGGCATGGTGGCAGACAGATCTCAGTGAGTTTGAGATCAGCCTGGTCTACATAGTAAGTTCTAGCACTGACAGGGCTCCATCATAAGACCGTGTCTGAGACACAGAGGGAGGGAGAGAGGGAGGCAGGCAGGCAGGCAGGCAGACAGATGACAGGCAGACAGACAGGCGAGCACAGTTTGTCCTACATGAATACTATGCTGAGCAGCATCAGAAGTGACCCTCCGAGCTTCTGCTTGGCTGGGGTGGAGGTGCCCAAGGAGGAGGCAGTGCACCAGATGTTATCAAAGTTCCAAGAGCTCACGTGGGACCTTCTGACATACCTGCCCCCCTGAGGACTGACAGGGAATAGGGCTGCTGCAGTTAGGAGCCGGTGAAGTAAAGTGGGTAGCAGAAACTGAACAAGCACTTGGCTAGAGCAAGGCTGCAGCTGCATGGTCTGCTCTGCTCTGGTGGCTGGAGGCTGTCTGGACTCGTCCACACAGGAGAAAGCATTGTGATGACAGCAGAAGACCACAGTCTTGTTCTTCCTGGAGGCTGGCCTGACCATCTCCCTTCCGCATCTTGTGTTTGTTCCCGAGGACTTTGCCATTGATTTTATCCCCGCAGCACCCCTGTAGATAGGTTCTGTTTTCCTCGCTTTGCAGAGGAAGAAACTGAGTCCAGGTGACTTAAGTTATACAGTTAGCAAGCAGGAGGACCGGTCTACATCCTATCGCTCATGTTTGAAATTGCCTAATCAAAAACACATCAGATTTCTTGATCGTGGTCCCTCAGTGTGGGTGGAACATCCCCAAAGCTGCAAATGCCCAATCCCTTATAGCCTACACACACCCTCCTCTTTACTTTAAATCATGGATTTGTTTGAGGGGGAGGGGTCGCTTTTTGAGACAAGGTTTCTTTGTGTCATGCGTTTTTGTTTTAAATAGTTTCATACTGCACTGTTCGGGGAATGTAGATGACACCATCCCATAGACTGAGGTCCCAAACTAAATAAAAAAGAAGTACTCTAAGGGCCAACTACATAGAGTATGTCAGAGGCTTCTGAGAGTCTTTCCTCACAGTTGAAAGCTGCTTGATCTTCATGCACTGCTCCTGCAGAGAACCCACCCTCCTTCAGGCCCAGCTTCCAGAGATCCGATGCCCTTCCTGGCCTCCAAGGCCTCGCATGGCGCATTCAAAGGCACATGCATACAGACACATAATGAAAACTAAAATCTTTTTAAAAATAAGGTTACTTGATCTGTAGTTTAAAAATGTCTAGTTTCAGCTGGGCGGTGATGGTGCACGCCTTTAACCCCAGCACTCGGGAGGCAGAGCCGGGTGGATCTCAGTGAGTTTGAGGCCAGCCTGGTCTACAGAGTGAGTTCCAGGACAGCCAGGACTGTTACATAGAGAAACCCTGTCTCAAAAAACCAAACCAAAACAAAAAAAAAAGGTTGTGTAGTTTCAAGGTTAGATATGTAGCTCAGTGGGTGAGGGTTGTTTAGTAGGAATGTTCTAGACCCTGGGTTCTGCCCAATAGCATCTCAACAGTAGGAGCGTAACAGTTTTAGGCAATGAAAATACTTTCTAATGTATCTTGATGTTGATGTTTCTGACTTGGGGTTTGACATTTATATCAGATTCGCCAAATAAAATCTTAACGCTATTATATAATAATGTTATCTAGTCTGCCTCACATTATTTTGTAGCACACTCATTCTGCAGTTAAATGTACACAGATGAGTGTATGGGGGCTGGCTCAGTTGGTAGAGTGCTTGCCTAGCATGCACGGAGCCCATGCCTATAATCCCAGCATTTGGGAGGTAGACACAGAAGGATCAGGGGTTTACACTCATCCTTGAATTGATAATCAGTTGCAGGCCAGCCTGGGCTACATGTGTAGCAGGCTGATACTGTACATCTTCTCTTTTAGTGGAAACATGAGGGCCCAAGTGTAGTCTCTGTGCTGGAAGAGAAGAGTGGTGATTGGGTCCTTGAAGTGAAAGGGGATTACCAAGTTATTTCAAGCATCTAACAGGGTCTGAAGCACCAGCTTTTGCCATGACCTCACCTACCATACACTAGGCAAACCCCCCCCCCCCCCATGTGTTCCCTGACAGGCCTGAGTGCTGCTTCAGAATCAAGATTAGGCTGAAAAATTCAAAACATGTGCATGGTTTCTTTGGCTCTTGAGGCTCCCTGTGACTTCTGAGACATTAATTTCATTGTATTTTTTTTTCTGAGATAGAGAAGTTATGGTCATTTAAAATACTCAGCTGGTATGTTTAAAGACATTTGCAAATACTTAAAATTTAACATGAAAACATTAGTCACATTAATTTGATAAGGAAATTAGCAAAGTGGCCAATAACTCTAAGACCTTAACCAAATTAAATGTTGCAGTTGGAATGTCTAGCTCTTTGCCCCGTCTCTGCTTGCCCTCTATTTCTTCTGTGTCTTTGCAGCAATGTAGGTTCATTCAAATCGTGAGGTGGTGAATTATCTCCAGGAGGGGCTGGGGAGATGGCTCGGAGTTCAGTTCACAGCATCCACATCAGGCGGCTCACCAGGGTCTGCAGGCACCTGCGTGCATGCGTACGTCCCTACACACAGACACACATGCATACATGTAATTGAAATGAAGTAAATCTTAGAGAATAGTCTTAGTAGGAGAGAGGGAGTGAGTGAAAAAAGAGCCAGACACGGTGCTGGGGAGTTCGCTTACTCTGAAACTCGGAGCTAAAGTCCCTCTACCTCTTCCTGAGGAAGAGGTTGAAGGGGATCGTTACCTCCTAGGCCGCTCTGAACCCTGGTCTTCTGTGTCATGAGTTCTTAGCCTGTCTCCCTGGTGCGGGGGTTGCCTTTCTTGAAACCGCACTGGCTCGCCACATGACGCTGTTGTCATCACTAAGGACTTCTCAGCTTTGCGACTGTCATGTGGACAGTGTTATTTCCAGCAGCAGTTATGGCCAGTACCTCTTAAACCTTTCCCATGTACCAACACTATATGTTAGCTTATTTAATCCTTATGAAATAGTGTGCCTAATGTTTGACTGCCAACTGATACTCAAGATGGGATTCTTATCTAGGTCAGCTGACTCCGAGCCCTGAGATTGTGACCAAAAGGCTGTCTGGTGCATTTATGTCTGAGTAATAGCCTGTGTTCATGGCCTAAGGCTGCGAGGAACTAATGGAAGGATAATAGATGGCCTCACGCCCCCTGCTGGCCCCATGTCCTGTGTGCAGCAGATGGCAGCACTTCCCCAAGTTGGTGGTTGTTTATGTTGGTAGGAAACCAGCAAGGCAGTCCCTCTGTTACCTTTGGCTCCACTAGAAGCGAAGAGAAAAACAGCAGAGGGTGAAGGAAAGGAGGAAGAACCTAAATAACAAAGACTGTTTCAGAAGTGGTTGGGAGTGCTTGAAAAGTGTGCTTCCTACATGGTTTCAGTGTTGGGCATCGAGTGTGAAGTGCAAGTTCCTCCGTGGATGGGGGCCATCTAGGGCCAGTCCTGGAATTGGGGCCCAGTGTGCAGAGGGGAATGCAGGCAGCTGCTTCCTTGTATACACAAAAGCTCCTAGTAGGAAATGTGTGTGCCTGAGAAAGCCTGGATGGTTCCCCACCCCCAACCCACTCCTGGAACCAGGAAGCTTCCTTCAGTGGTGCCTTGCCCTGCCCCTCTACTCGCCTACAGCACAGCCCCTCCTTGCCACTCTTCCCAGGTGCCAGGTTCATGCTTCATGACCACTGTGGTCTGATTGCCAGCGTGAGCAGGAGCTGGGCGCAGAATACAGTGTACAGGGTTGCTTAGAGAAGGGGATGCTGGGAGAGGAGATGACACATGGTCCAGCTCTGGCACCGGAGCATGCCTGACCGGCAAGACCCCCCTAAGCTTGCCTTTTTGTGTGCCTCCAAAGTGTGAGCTCCAGGGACAAGGCTAGTGTGGAACTGGATAGCCTTTCTGGCATCTTCATTTCCAGCTCAGCTGTCTGTGATGACAGCGAAGTAAAGAACGTCCTCACCTGGTCTCTTCTGCCTCACTTTCATGACACCTGTAACTCATACAAAGATAAGATTCCTTGGCTTCTTGGTGTGTGACCCTCGGTTTCCAGGT